GGAGTAAGGTGGTGAATCTGCACATCAAACTCCTCTAGCATTTCACGAAGAAACCGAACAGAATGAATGCAAAGGCCATAGGCAAAGTAGTCCCTAAAGACAACAGCATAATCCTTACTGGGCGTAGGGACCGTATTGCCCTATAGAAGCTTAGCCCTGCCCTGTGAATGTAGCCTTCCTTCTCGAGCTCAAGGTTCATCTTCTTCATCATGAACGAAGGCCAAAATCCCAGGTCTTATCGGCCATGACCTTCACTTCTTCAGCCCCAACCAAATCACAAAGTGAAGCTTCAACACTAGCCAGATCCTCTTCAAGCTCCTAGGCCTCCGCGATAGCAACCATGCACTCCTCAAAGCACACAGACCACCCAATAGCCCTAACACCAAGGAGTAGGGATCAAAGATGTTAGCCCGGCGAGGAGGAGGGCTGATAGCAAAAGCCACCTCTAAAGCACTAGAAAAACTAAAAGGAGAAGCATAGGCAAGTCACAACTAAGCGGAGGCTAAGGGTGAAAGATGGCTTAGAAAGCAAAAGGAATGAAAGCGATGGCTCAGGTGGGGTGGGGGGCCTTCACCTACCACCCCCTTATATAGGCCACAGGTGGATGTTGCCTCAGCTTGAAAGCGCCAACGGTGACGACTGTTCATGGGCACATCGGTTCTAGGGCCACCGCAACGAATGAGAGGCTGACACGTCACAACTACAACGGTCTGATTCGGGTGACCCAGGGGGAAAGGGGAAGCCTTCGTTAGAAGCCCCCGCCACTCAATATCAATGGAAAAATTGAGGACCATGGCCCACGCGCACCAGACCGTGCCCTCAAGGGGGGAATAGTTGGGACATGGATATGTGAGTAGCGGAGGCTAGACCATGCTCTAAACTACAATGACTAATGACAACGGTTTGCATATGTGGCGATGTGCAGGGGGACCAGATGGAGTCTTTGCATCTGATCGCAGATGCGGCGAAGGCCTCAGAATGGCGGTGAAGGCTCCCGGGCACGGTCCAAGGCGAAGGCTCAAGAGACAAGGGTGGAGATGGAGACGACTCGGGCGGAGGCCAGGCGATCTCCATCGATTGAAGGAGGATTTGCACAACACCGTGGTCCTGGGCCGGAGATGGGCCCCCTAGGCCTACGACTAAGGCCCAAGAAAGAGAGGCGGTGCCAAAAGAGAAGGCCTGAATTGCCCCATGCAGCTCATATCAGTGCAGGAATATTCTAGGAATGTACCTTAGCTATCGTAGGACAAAAATGTAAATGAGAATGGTAGCAAAGGGTGCCCTATAAAAAGAGGGGAAAACCCTGTGTAAGAGGAGGTTGGTGAATACATTTATCAAACCCTAATTGTGACTGGACCCACTTCCTATATAACCTTCGTCTGGAGCCTCTGCCCAGGCGAAGATCCCCGTCGTCACACCCTACTGGGAACCGATTTCCCAACAGCCGCACCTCACTCTGCTCGTTACTACGGCATTCTACCATGGCGTCTATTGATGGTAGTTAACAACCACTATAAAACATCAATAAAACATGTATAAGGGCATAATTGTGATCACTAGCAAAGGTCTAGGGGTTTAAACTAACAAATTCCATGAGTTTTGGTGAATCTGTATTTTGTGCAAGGTTTATTAAGAAAACCGTTAAGGCGGACCTACATGTCAGAATTAATCATGCTTATCCACCGCGAAACGGACACCAGAAGGTTCTAGAGTACTCCAGAGGACACCACACCAAAGCGGGAGCTGAGGGGCTACCAGGTGGGGCTGACCGGCCCCACCTATAAGCCGTCCAGTCCCTGGGGCCACCCCTCAGTCTCCGCTTCGTTATGTCGGTTCTCCACCACCTCCTAGGTTGCATCTACGCCATTCTTTAAGTCAGTTTGATCCAAGGGCTCATGATGGACGCTCCGGCCTATATAAACAGCCATGTACCCCCTCCCTCAGTAGATCCCTGAAACCCTAATTCATATCTTCAGGATCAGAGCCAGCAATCAAGAGAAGATTAGTCCTCTATAGGATCTAGCCTTATAAATAGAATAGTGAGATAGAGAGTGAGGGAAGAGTTTGGAGGAGGTGCCAGCCTGTCGGGACCTTGGAGGATCCAAGTTCTACTTGAGCTTGCCTTCGAGATCTCTCTGGTAATCAACTTCTGATTCAAGTAAGTAATTGTTTATATTATTCATCAGGATCATGACTCCCTTTTGAGTGCTTTAATCTATAAACACTCTAGATTAAAGTATTAATCGTAAGTATAAGCATGGTGCGTAGACTTGGATTAATCATGGAGGCCCCCTGCATTCCGGAAGGTGGTAGATCGCGTGTGTGACATAAGTTCTATATAGCTTGTACTATATAGCTTCGTTGATCCTTTGTAGTCCACCTCCTGTCTGTAGGCGCACGTAGGACGTGGTTCCAAAGGAAAGCATCATCTGCTGGTGTCTTTCCCTAGTAATGTCCCTAGTTGAATAGTAGAAGACATAGCTTACCCAAGTTAGAAGTAGAGAACCTCAGTTATCCTCTCTATGCTTCTATTTATCCTAACATTGTTGCACCCCTAGTTAAGTTAGACCGTAGTTTGTCTCACACGTTTCTCTGTGGATACGATACTTGGAATACCTCCGGGTGAAAGCTACAGTGGTATCCGTGTGCTTGTAGATTTTTCTGTGTGCGTTAAAATATACCAACAGCGTCCCCGACCCTACGCTGCTTGCTCGCTCATTCCTCTCTCCTCTTCCCTCATTATCGTGCGCCCACCTGCACCTCGGTCCTCGCTTTGTCCGTGCGCCATGTCACCCGCTCCCTCTCGTAGCGCGCACCGCCCGCCAAGCTAAGCCAAGGCCGATGCTACTAGTGCTGGGTGGTGGGGTTGTGCTCGTGCGCTGCCGCTGGTGCTGGTGCTGGTGGAGCTCGCGCGTCGCCGCTCGCCCCCGGAACCTACCCTAATGACTGGAATCGACCAGCCCTAGCCTTCCCCTCCCCTATATTGTAAATGTATGTTTTAACTGTTTCAGGTGTTTCAGAGGTATGTTGCAATTGTTACATATAGATATTGCAAAAGTAGATCGAGATGTTGGATATTTTTGCAACTGTATTCAGTGTTATGTTGCAAACGTTTTGAAAAATTGTTCTCAGACATATGTTGCAACAAGTGTTTATTTAGATGTTGCATATTTTTCACACACATGTTGCAAATGTTTTATCTGCATGTTGCATATGTTTCACACGCATGTTACAAGTGTTTTATCTCGATGTTGCATATGTTTCACACATATGTTGCAACAGTATGTTTCAAATGTTTCATCTCTGTCCGACGTATGTTGCATCAAGTGTTTCATGTTGCAAGTGTTTCACGGGGCACGGTGAGTGATGGGCGCACGGCCTAGGCATCGGGGTATGGGGCGCGGTAAAGCTGGGGATCAGCAGACGGAGGCGCAACGAGCTAGGGGCCAGCTCCCGAGTCCTGCCCACGTAGAGAGAGAGAGGAGGGGTCCGAGGGAAGGAGCGGGAGCAGTGATGGGGGTAGGTTGCGCGTGCGAGGCAGGTGCAAGGCGGACGGGGGCTGGCTGCGCGGCCGTCCATCCGGACGTGAGGAGCGGCAGGCGTAAGTCACCAGCGGTCCCCACGGGCGCGGGCACCCGGGTGGGTGCGTGAAAAGTAGGCACGGGTGGGGGACAAGGAGTGCAGCGCTGCGCCAAGGAAACAAATTGGCCTAGTCCACGGTACCGTCTGACGTATCAATACCCAATCGTCCGGGTGCCCGCATTTCTGCTAGAAAAAAAGATTTGTGAGGGAAAAATAATTTGGTTTGGGAAGGATTCAGCACAAATTATGTTATGGGCGAGAGAGATTTAACATTTCATTTAGCCTTTCCTTCGCATGAGCTGAAATTGTGTTTGGCCCAACTCCTTGCCCTATACTTCTGAGGCCGAGAAGATAAAGGGAAGGCAGACTGGGCAGTGCAGACTGCGGACTTTAGCGCTTGTGAAGCAAAAACAAAGGACAAAATAGAGAGAGAGAAAAGGCTCTATCGGGTAGACTGAGATTTAGCCCAAGGTCTAATTTTATATGGGCTATATAAAGACTTGGATATTTTTTTCAAGGTTTCGGTACGCTAAAATTTGAACTAAGAAAGGATAAGCTAGAGTAAGAGCATTCATTTGAGGGTCAGATGCAAATTTATAATTTTAATACAGATTATTTGTAACAAACTTACATGCTTATTTGGGTTTTATTTTAATTTTGAGAAGAAAATTGAGATACTCATGCATGTTGTGGAACTTGAATAGGCATGGTTTTCAATAAAGGTATATCAAAATGTATAAGCATTTCCTTAAAAGCCCTGAGTAACAAGTCTTCAAGCCCTCAATTTAGGAAACCCATGCTAACGCAATGGTTGCACTCAAGGCTAACTCTCAAATCTCACTTCTTGGCTTCCGTGGCTCTCCAATTATTTCATAACTCTCTCTCTATATGTGTGCTGGTATCAAGTATTGTTTCATAGATGTTCTTCTTTTTTTTTTTGCTGTTCTTGTTCGGGGAACATACTAGTTACACCATTGGGCACATTTGCAATGGTGTGAAGACAACAAGGAACATATCAACTAAGTGTATCTAGCGCTAGAAGTAGAGGCTATAAATTTCTTTGCTTCCTTTGAAAGGCAAAATAATGTTAGGATTGAGTTTTTAGTTGGATTTGTTTGTGTGGAGTTAAGAGTTTGCAATAATTGTTATGATTTCCTTGCTTTGTAAGGGATGAAGCGGATTCTTTTCATTTCTTAAAAAATACACTATTACTGGATTGTTGTATCTTTGAAGTGGTACTAGTAACCAGTACTAGTATCCAAAACCTTCCGGACCTCCTTCAAAAATTACAATGTATGTAAAAATTTTGAGGACACATAGTTTTTTGGAGGCCACACAGTTAATTCTCTCTAGTATGTAACATAAATGTAGCTCTACAGAACATGGATAAGCACTCCTTAGCACGAACGAGAACAAACTCAAGTAGTGGCTAGTTTGCGCTTGTACCTCGTGGCACAATATGCAAACGTAAGAAGGTTCAGAAGCTGTAATCCTGCCATCAACCAGAATAAACGATCAAGACGACCTTCATTGAGATTATCAGGGATCCAGCCATGTCGCCCTCTTCCCAATCCCACTGTTGCTGAATCCATGAACTTTAACATCACGGAGACAAGGTAGCTTCCAAGGGTGATCATGATGAGAGAGCAAGCCTGACACAAACTTCTCATAGCATCAGGCGACTGCTCATACGCAAACTCGATGAAACCAACAACGGTGAACACTTTTGCTACACCAACGAAGAAGTACTGTGGTGCCTGCCACAGGATATTCATTGGGGCTGCAGTATTACGGTGCACTAGGCCCCTTTCGTCCACGATTTTAAGGCGCGCCATCTCAACCAGCGCAGCTGAAACCAAAGAAAGCACAGCGAAAACCAGACCGACACCGATGCGTTGCAGTTCAGACAAGCCTCTCTTCATGCCAGTGATCATGCTCAGCATTGGCATGATAACCTTGTTGTAACAAGGGGCCAGGATGAGGATACAGAGGCAGTTGAAGGTCGTCAAAGACCCTGGAGGAATTGAAAAGCCGTATATGTAGTTGTTCATGACTTGTCCTTGTTCAATGAAAAGCGGGAAGAAAGCTTCAGCCATGTTGAAAATTATGCCAGCTAGTAGGACAGGCAACATTCTTGCCAAGATCTTCAGCTCCTCCACCTGTGTAACTGTACAAAGCTTCCATGGACTAGGCACATCAGCAGACGATGTTTCGTCAGGGGAGGAAATGGTGGCAGCTCGATCAAAGAACCTAAATGCAGAAGTTTTTTATTCAGTAGAGACAGTGAAAATTTTGTTGAACGTGCGAACCTATTAGTGAAAATGGTGGTGTCAGAAGCTCTCAACACCATACCTTAGTCCTTCAGTATGCATCAGCTTCCTGCTGCCTACAATTGCTGCCTCCTTGCCTGGCATTTCATAAAGAAGAGAGCTGTCATTTGGCACATCCACATGGACCTTCCGGACAGCTGCAACCACAACCTGGCAAATCCTAGTGAGTGCGCTTCCTCCTGGTTTCTGATACCTGTAAAGTTTCATACAGGCAAGAAATCCAGCTATTCCAATCACTGAGAACAGTGTAGGGATCCCGAATCCCCATCCCCATCCCCAGTTGTCCTGAACATACACGAGGAGTGTGCTCGCAAAGAAGCCGCCGCCATTGACAGCGAAGTAGTACCAGTTGTAGTAGAGCCCCTTCTGCATCTTCTCTGTTCCATCAGTGTCATCGAATTGATCGGCCCCAAATGTGGGGACACATGGCCAGATGCCACCTAGTCCAAGGGCAGTCAAGAATAGGCCAAGAGAAGGCAGGGCATCCTGAGGAGAGATCTCCAATGTATGAATGCTTCCTGGAGTTACTGCTGCAAGTGTCAATAGAACCATTCCCTGCAGACAAACCTTGAGGCATAAGCACTAGTACTTCTGAATGTCATTTGTGGAACAAATCTGAACTCAACATGCAGATGCAGATTTTTTTTATGAAACTGCAGATGCAGATTTTTTTTTTATTTATGAAACTGCAGATGCAGATTTGAGAAAGAAAGGCCTGCAGATAGAGGAGTGCCGATGGAGAGTTACAATGGTAAAGATGGTCAGGGAAATAACGATTGTCCGGTGTCTTCCCCAATATGAATCTGCCAAGAATGCTCCGAGAAGGGGAGTGAGGTAGCAGGTTCCCTGCCATGAAGCTATATTGCTCGCCGCAGCGACATTGCTCTGCTTCCGCACCTTTGTTAGGTAACTGACCAGGTTCGTCCCAACACCATAGTACGCCAAAGAACCACAAAATTCACCGCCTTCCAAGAACATGGATTCACAGAGAAAAAAAAATCAAAGAAAGAAAGGGCATCGCCAAAAGTTTCAAGACAAGAATACATGATGAGGTGTATTGCACATTGAAGGCAAAGTATAGGTGCCAGTGTCTGATTACCAAGAATTGAGTAACAGGCTCTCCATTTTCCAGTATGCTTTTTCGATGCCGGATTGCCTTTGATATCAACAGAGCCATTGCAGGCATATGGTTCATATTCCTGAACTCCATGACAAGAAGGGGTCAAGTTAGCATTTGTATGCTGATCTACATTAAACCAAAATAAACCACCTCTGTAACTAAAAATTGAACAACAATGCAGTTTAGATGCATTTTTTATTTGCACAATACACTGTGTGCCATGTCAGCAGATGATGAATCACATCACCCTCCAATACTTTCTTAGATAAAGACATCACCCTCCAATACTACTAGTAGTGCCCAACAGAACTTTGAAGGGAGTAGGAACAGAGATTACCAGACGGCTAGCGGTGAAAGCACTGGAGTGGGCTGCAGCCTGCACACTGTCGGCTTTGTTGGCGATCACTTGCGGCGGCGAGCAGGCAGACAATGGAGCTCCGGTCGACGCCATGTCCTCGCTACCGTCTGACACCAAGAAAGCTACGGAGCCGCCGGCACATTGGCTTGTGCAAGGCCGGCGCCATTGCTCCTCTCCCTCTGCCATGTGCCGTCCGTTCGGCCGCGACGCTGAGCACGAAGGCATCGAGAGTGAGAGGGCAGACGGAGGCGCGATCTCGTCAAGGGTATAAATCGGCAAAAGTGCCAATGGAAGTATGGAACGTCGCGGCGCGGGCACGAGCACATGCAGTGCACTGCTATGGATGCAGCCTTTGCCATCGTATGGGTCGAATAAACAAGCGAAAACTTCCATGCTCCCATGCCTTCGCATGGACGAAAACTTCCATGCTTTCTGCCGACTTCCTCCTCTTTTTATTTTTATATATATTCCTTTCTAAATTATATTTTAAAAAGTAACCTTACTCTATTTTATTTTCATTTCTAACACTTTTGACTATACTAGGGATGAAAATGAAAATGGATATCCGAATTATCCGACATTCATATTCGCTAAACTTTGTAATATGGATATCCCGTATCCATATTGATACCTATTTCTAATGCGAATACTAAATAGATGTGTCCGAATTTGTCTTTCAGTATTTTTCTTCATGCGAATCTAAATCAGTATTCAACAAAAATATTAAATATATGATATTTATCCGTATCCGCAGTGAACAATGTATAGTGAATCTATTTAAAAGTTTAATCTCCATAGCTAGGGACTAATTATTTAATTTTAATATTACTAATAATGCATTGAAACTGTCTGTAAGATATCTATAAACAACTTTTAATATTAGTTTAATATCATTAATGATACATAAAGATTAAATTAGTTTTAGTATTTTCTAATTTAGTTCAAACCTAATATATTTGTTGATTAAATCAGTTAATACTTTATTTTACTTATTTATTGATTTAAATTATTTTATATAATTTATAATTTCTTGATAACCATCTGATAAATATTTATAAATAATGACTAGTTAACTAATATATATTAATTATTAAATATTTATTAATAACTATATTATTTTTAATGAGCTATCCTTGCCTATGTTATATACCACATACTTTTATTCTTCACTTGTGTAATAATTTTATAGTTCTGAAAACAATAATAAAGTAAAATTGCTACCAGTTTCCTGCCATTCTTATTTGAATTTCTTCACTTGACCTATCATTTTATTAAATATTATTTATTAAATATTATTTATTATAGTTTAGTTTACTCAGATATTGGAGATTATCAGAAGTGTTCTTTGATTTTATTTCACTTTTATTATGGATGAACATAGTAATAAAATTTTATTAATATATGTTGAATTCATTTGAGTTCAGTTGAGTAAATATCCGAATAGAATTCAAATCTGAGACATCTGTTTTGTATTGATATCCGAATCTGATTCCATTCAAATCTGATCTGTTTTCATCCTTAGACTGCACTAGGTGGCGCACTATGGCAAGATCAATGTGTTGTGCCACCATATGTATTGGCACGATAAGGTATGCCTCATTTGACTGCGTAGGAGGGGTCTACTAGTATATATTTGATGTGGAAACATGTCACGTCATTCCCGTTAGCGTGGTGGTTCTATTTTACGGCACCATTCAAACTGACATGATAACCAAGTGTGACTTCGCATCATGTTTGGGTGGTGCACTAGCACCAGAAAAAAAAAATTGCTACTAAATAGTCTATTTTTACCATATAAAGCATCAGTTGAAATTAGATATATTTCTACATGGCTATGAAGATTGCACATCACCATGCATTTTAAGCTAGCTTGGACCCTGATGGCCTGTATATCCATCTATCTTAAAATGATATGTAATATGTTAAAGAACATGGCAAACCTTGTTATGCCGATGCATATGGTGCGGCAGCTCTTTTTTGCCACACTAGATATGATTTAAAAAAAAAGTTTAAAAGGTAAAAAAGATCACGTCCTATCAACCTTTTTCAATTGTATCTCTCACCGCATTTAGCTTATTAAGCACTCACTGATCTTGTTAATTCAGAAAAAAAAAGTATTTTTCTGTATGAATCAAATAGAGGTAAAATTTATAAGATTTTAGGTCTCGGCAACATCTATGCTCAACTCAGTGTATGTATGCATTTGAAGTCCAGTTCTTCGATTTGAACTAGGTGAGGACGACATATATATGCCGCAACTGTGGTATGCATAGATGGTTGGATAATTTTTTCAAGTGTTGATCCAATTTATAGAAAAAGTATAATATCTATGGCATCCAGTTAGTTTTATAAATTTGGATCAAATATTTATTTTTGGTACTGTATTTATTTTAACTTATACATGTCTATATGTTTTGTTCTAAAACTTAGTAAAAATTTGTTTAGTTTGACTCAATACAAAGTTAAAATGACATGTATATTTACAATGGGTTCGGTTTAAATTTGTTACGAAGTGATAAGTAGCACTACATCTTACCGTACCAATGCATGGTGTGGAAGAGTGATTTTGGCACGCAATAAGATTTGACGCAGTTAAGGGGATTGAAAAAAAAAAGTGGGACCAAGTTTAGCAACGTGATTTTAAAAGTGTTAAAACAAGAAAATCACGTTCTACCAGCCCATTTGACATCGGATCTCTCATTGCTTTTTTTAAATTTCTTCCTTGCACCACTGATATGCCATTTTGTATGTGCAAATGTGTTTGGGACGGCCCCGTGAGGCTCTGTTCATTTTCTCTCAAAACTATAGGTGTTGAAAGGGATTGGGGACGATAAAATCCCCTATAAAGGCCCTTTGGATACACAGATCCTCCGGGGATCCCCGCCCAATCCGCAGGAGGAATAAGTCCTGTGCCTAAGCTGCCCTCCACAGCCCCGGTACCCATTTGGATACTTTTCAATGTGCTTCAGTCCCTCTCAATCACAGTGCTTTAGACGGTCTCCAACAAGATAATATATGGACGGTCAAACCTAAAATAAATAGCAAGAGATTCAAAATCAATCACTACCTATACGGAGATTTATTTTGGGTTGTCTAGAAGGCACAACCCAAATATGAACATCCCTCTCCTGAAAATTCATTTGCAGAAATGATTTTCTTTTGGTCTTGTTGTCGGAGAAGATGCCGAATAGATATTGAACCTTTTGCCTATAGCGCTATCCAAATGAGGAATGAATCTTGTATTTTTGGTGTTATTGTTGGAGATAACGTTGGATCAAATGAAAAGGTTCCAGTGAGACACGGAGAAGCCTATACATAGCTGTCGTAATAAATTCATGCACGCATGCAAAGTACTACGTATACACCTACTTTTACGGCCTCTAGATTTGCTGAGGCTGTCTGCGCTGGTACACTGGTATTTTTAGAATCCACGAATGGAGCA